CTATTGGCAAATGAGGTGCAACCTGCTATGTGCATTCCATATCATCCACAGACATGCCTGTTCACTGAAATCCGAAGATTTCTTTGACTTTATACAAACATGACTCATCTGCTCTGATCAAATAATAGTACGATAAAGCCACTTATAATTGTTTTAATGAGTTTAAATCCATCAACATAAACTTTTGTTGCTCAGGTAACAGATGCCCATTGATGGAAATTCGACCTTATATTGGCGGAATTTAACGAAAATGGGGAAAGTCTGGCTACTGAAAACGTAAAAAGTAGTTAATTATTGTAAGTCAAAGGCACGCACCTGCAGTACTCTGAACCGTTGAGGATGTCCCGATTGCTTTTAGGTGCAGTGAATCGGTCCGCAGACATGTAGGAGAGCGAGAAATTGGTATAACCCTGCATGGTACGCGTAGGCGAGTAGTATAGGACGTAGACCAGACGATTGATGAAGGCGGTGGTGAAAGCAATCAGGCAGGCCTATTTTGGCAAGAAAAGAGAAAAAACAGTTTCAGGATACAGTTGTGAAAATCAACAGCGTGATCATGGGAGAGGGGGGAGACGACTTTAATCAGAAACGAGAACAAAATGTGCAAGCCTACATTTGTTCGAATGGCAATCGACGAGAGGACATCGAGGATGGAGAACCAGATGCCTAAAAGCAGAAAAGGCAAAAAGTGAGAAAAAGAAGCGTTCTAGAGGTCGGTCGGCTCGTTTTGAAGGCACAAAGGGTTGAGAAGGCCGACCAGCTAAATAAGATGGGTCATCGGTAGAACTCTCAAAGCCAAGTGCGAGAATAAACCGAATGGGATGCTTCCGGCTTCGGAACGTACAGACGACCTGGAAATTGCCAGATGATAAATGACTCGTAGATGAAGAAGGCGTGTCGAGCACCGGATCAATTGATTTATTGCCCTGAGCTTTCGAATGCTTACATGAATACATTTTCAGAAAATGGACTGGTAGGAGAGTATTGTGTGTATGCCTGATTTTGGCCTTTACCGGACTGTAAGTGAACGAGGGCCTAAACTTGTAGCAGTTGTTTCAGTGTTCCCTTTCCCAGCAGCTGCTTCAATGTTTGCTCTTTTCGCCGGCGTCGCGACCGTCGCGACAAGTTCGCTAACTAAACAGGCGCTCGTCCAAAGCACCACTGCCCCCAGACTTGGCCTCAGCTTAGTCAAGGTCACGCTGGCAGACATCGCACATCTTGCACACATCGTGCATCTGCCTCCATGACCTAACCAATCACACACCTAACAGGCACCCCCGCATGCTGACACGAACAATGACAAACCCGTTCACAACACACCTCTGCTAGCACGCTCCCGAACGGTAGAATTGTCCAGACACCGCTGTTCACACGCTCCCAGACGAAAGCATTTATCACACGCAAGCAAGCAGTCAATCCACGGCAAATTGCCTTGCGTACCCAATAAATTGCTCCTAACATCTGACTGCCTTCTTCCGTCAGATGGAATATTATTAGTGTTGTGGTTACAGTAGCTCGCCATCCTTGACCGCTACAGACTAGGCGACCCGGTAAATGTTGGACGCACGCTCACGTCTTCGTCGTCGGCACGGCGTGTATACTTGGCTGGGAGTCGGGCCGCGCGAACAAGGGGTATATCCACGTGCGTGCTGGTGGAGTTGGAATCAGACACCTAGGCCGCCAGGAGTTTCCATCCCGTCTTATAACTAGCTCGCGCCATTATCCGCGTATCCGTGAAGTTAATTTTGTGGTCATTCTCCAGAGTGTGGGTCACCCCTCCGCACTGCCCGTTTGTGTGCTTTTATTCGCCAGCTAAGTCAGCGTCCAGTCTGCCCCGTATAACGGCGGGAACAGTCGCGACATGGTACTTGCTGCAAGACATCAGACTGATCACCTACGTCCTTTATTTGCATAAGTCGAGAACGCATAGGAGCTGTCGAAAGATGGGTGATAGCCACGCCGAACTCTGGCG